GTATAGCGAAAAGAAAATTTGACACCGAGGAGACGAAGTTTCGAAATGTGTCTTCACCTTATTTCTTAGTTAGGTACATTAATAGAGAAACCTAAACGTTGGTAGATAGAGATGGATAAGGATATACAGGGTTAAATTTCCAAATAAGACAATAAATAATTTAAAGAAATACTTGTTTCCATTTGGGTCTGCACTAGGCTAAACCAGAGTGGGCTTGATTCCATCTGATAGTTTAATAATAAAGACAACTGTACTTGGGAGGACATTAAGTTGCTTCGTTTAGGCCAAGTTTGTCATTCGGACATAAAAACGATAAACCTATGAATCATATTGAACTTTTTTTCAAAACGATCAAACCGAAATCCCGATTAAGTTACATCACTATAACTGATCAATTTAGACGTTCCGTATATCGATGCGTATCTTCTATCTTCTATCTTTCTTTCTATCTTTTCTAAATATAAAAGGAGAAACTGACTGACTGACTGACAGATCAACGCACAGCCTAAACGGCTAAACGTAGGCACTTGAAATTTGGAAGGGACATAGCTTAGGTACCGTAGAGGTGCACTAAGAAAGGAATTTCCGGAATTCCCACGGGAACGGGAATTAGCGGGAAAAACGGGATTCACGCGTACGAAGTCGCGGGCGGCCGCTAGTTAATTTATAAATACCAACAAAGATGCTACTTGTGATGCCGCTCGCCGCGGCAGCAATCCCGGGCGAGCTCGTAAAACTACAAACATCGTGAATCTGTATCAGGTAATCGGTAAATGCTCGGTGCGGGCACACGTGACTGGCAACTTATTTTTCAAATATAGAACTACTGGGTCAGGGGTAGCAATGATATCAGCTTGAAAAACAAAATTTAGTTTTGGGCCAGTTTTGCATGTTGGAAATTAGTGGTATGCCGTATGTATTTTGGAAATAATAATGCTGCTTGATTCAGACCACTAAATGATTAAGTTTTTGTCAGGTACAAGTCCTACAATCTTATTAAAGTAACGAACGGTAATTAGGTAAGTAAAAGAATTAATTTAATACTAATAGAATTATTAAGGTCGACCTTTTCAAATCATCCTTTTCAATTGTAGATAGCTGCATACTCTTAAGTTCTGATTTGTCTATCGAATCACAAGAAAAGCCAAAGTAAGACATTTAAGTTCTGATTTGTCCATCGAATCACAAGAAAAGCCAAAGTTGCAGAATCAAATCTCGAGTGGAAAGTATTATAACGAATACAAATCTATTTATGTGGCTTGATATTTAATCAGCGTAATGCCTTAGTCAATTTACATTTTGGGACTATTACTCCTATACTAGCTGATCCGGACTTCGTATGTTCCTATACATGTGCGGCCTAAGTTCATCAGGGATAACGAAACAGTTTTTAAAATCGGTTCAGTAGCATAGGAGCCTTTGCTACACAAACTATCAAATATTTTCTCTTTATATTAGGTACATTCATAAAGACTAGATCCCCGAGCAGAATCAAATAGCATCCAGTAGCGTATTTTAAAACCCTTTAGGAATCAATATGCGCATCACACGAGCAGTCTCCATAACAATTGAGGCGGCAAATTGCGGAGGTCCGATCCGCGCAATAACCCCTGACTCCTCATTATGCAGATTGCTATGCACTTCTAGTAACGTCTTGCAACCACATGAGAAAAAGTTCGTGAGGTGGGAGAAACATGAGCTTGCAGTAGATTGGATTCAAAGTAGTTTAAATGACATCCACAAACAAAAAACTTAGTGGAATGAGAGTATTTGTTACGCGTCAAATAGTTTATGAGACCCAAAGTGCCTAAAGCCTTGACCACAACTACCGAGTGGACGGGCGAGACAGTACAATGATACTAGGCCGAGAGAGTCAGGTGAGTCGTTGAGTATCTGTCTCGCCAAAAAACTCGGCCGAGCGCACTCACCGTAATGTTTCATACACACCGAGTACTCGGCGGAGAGCACTGTCTCGCCCGTTTGCTCGGTACGTGTGACCAAGGTATAAGAAGTAGACAACACAACCCTATTCCAATCGTAACAAAAACGTGTGGCGAACTTATTGGCTACTTTGGGTGTCACTATTTGGCGCTCACTGTATGCAAGGCAAGACAAATTAAATTATTACATTATTGAATTCCATGATGCTGGCGTGAGCACTTCAATTTTTTTGTAACATAGACAAAATGGGAACCAATCTTCTAAATGAAAGGTTTACAACGACATCGATGAAATAAGGTACTATTTTTTTAAATAAAATATTTATAAAATAACTTTTTCGTTGGGTTATAAATAAAAAGTTTGTAAACATTATTTTCAGTTGCTTCAATTTAATTAATTCATTTCTACAAAGTATATAAAACTACTTAAAATATCCTAAAAACATTGAACTTTCAAGAAAATGAAACTAAAAGGCAGTTGAGACAATTTCGCTGAATTTTAAATTTGTCAAGTCTAGATTTTGTAATGGCCAAAATTGGTCCAGATGTTTTCAGTGGGATGCATTATGATAATATTTGGAGTTCAAAATGGAATGTTTTAAAAGCAAGTCTGGAGAAATAAGATTCCACCAAAATATAGTCGGCCGTTTGGTGTAGTGGTTCAGAACGGACTACTATGCCGAGAGGTCCCGGGTTCGATTCCCGGCCGGGCAGAAATTGAAATGATGAATTTTAATTTCTGTGACGGGTCTGGGTGTGACTATGTATAATATTTATGTATTTAAAAAAAAAAAGTATATATAGCCTGACCAGGAACATAAAAACCCTCGCCATGTTGCGGAAAACTAATGGTACTAATTTCTTTTAATNGTAACTAAGGAACTGCTAAAGTTCAAAAGATACAAAGCCTGTGCAGTGACTAGAATACTGACCGGCCACTGCAAACTAAACAAACATAAATCGAACATGAACATGACCGAGGAAACTCTGTGCAGATTCTGCCATACAGAAGAAGAAACGGCCACGCATGTTCTTTGCTCATGCTTCCCGCTTATGAGCAAAAGAAGTATCCATCTCGGGCGACACATCATGCACCCGGATGAGATAGCAGATATCACGCTCCAAAGAATCTGGAAATTTATAGACTCAACGGGACTAAGCAGTGAACTCTAAAGACAAGGGCTGCCACAATAGATCAAACCTGGTCGAGTTGGCGCAAATAAAGGCCCAAAAACCAATAATAATAATAAATACTAGCTCTCTCCGACATTTATATTTCAGTATTTAATTTAAAATATCTCAAAGATGATACTATGATTGCGTAAACAATATTACGATTGATAGCGCTTCGTCGCATATTAGAATGAATATGTACGTATTAAAAATTGGGTCATATTCCAAGTTGATTCGGTTTGTTTTGCGTCACAAATAGATATCTGCAAAGTATATTTGGGATTGTGCAATAAATATGAATGTGATTGAGATTTGTGTTACGCTATTACATTAAACAATATTTATAATTAATAGTAAGCATTTTACATAACAAGTTGATGTATTTTTATGTAACATTTACATAAATATTAGATATTACTTTTCCATCAATATTCGAACGCTGGGATATCATTTTTCAACCTCGTCTAGGCAACCAAGATTATGCCATTCATGTATGGGATTGCATTATGTAGAGGGGTCAAGCTATACCTTATGATTTATGTTGATGATCAAAATTATAGGTGTACCAGAATCTCATGGCAAACAAAAATATTGGAAAAGTGTGTTTTTCATATGGCCATTGTCTATGGCTTTATTGTCACCTGTCAAAGTAAATCAAGAGATCTGTCAGCCGCTGCAGAAATTTTGTAATCTCTTCATGCCTATTTGTTATTTTTGTGAAAAAGACGAAAAAACTCAAGCAAGTCATATTGTTTTCAAAGTGTATTGTAAAATAAGGCATAATTCAAAGTCAATCTTTGATTTTAAAGCGCTTCGTTGAGTTGACAGTAAGTTGGAGTGAAATGTTTTGATACTTACCTACATTAAGTTTATTACCTAACTGCGTCAGAAGGAGGGTTATGTTTATTTTTATACAGGGTGTTTGGCGCATCGTGTGCCAAAATGATTTGGCGGATAGAATGGGTCATTTCCTATATTTTCAGTCCCCATAACACGTTCCATGCCAGGCGGCTACTTTTAAATTAATTTTTTTAGTAATTTCACCAAAATACCCAAATCGCATCATTTAATTTCGATTAAAAAAAAAACTACTAAGCGCAGCCCTAAAGTAAATATTTTGTTTTGACGTGCATTAATGTAGGGTTGCATCAAATCTAAATTTACTGGCAAATATCATCTAGTTTTTTTTAAATTCAGCTTTGAAGTTTTCAGAAAAGTTGAAAACGGACTGAACATTTAAGTTTACATGGGTATATTTTTTTTTTTAAAAGAGATAGCGATCTTCGGATTTTATCAAAACTTCTCTAGTCTATCCTCATTCAAACGGTATACTAATCTTGTTTAAATAATAACAACAACTTCACAAATTCCTTAAATTAGTGCATTGACTCTACTCGGACTGATTTGCGAAATTTGTGTTTATAGCTCCTTTTTGTGTGAATAGCACGTAGAACACCTAACAGGTAAAAATTATTTATCTTATGCAATGTAAAAACCTTTTCCCTATCGTTTTTCAATGTGGATTTCTTGAAATTAAAGACGAAAATAATTATTTTGATCGTTTATTAATTATTACAAATTTTGTTCAAAATGTCCGCCTCGGCAACGTATACACTCAAGACATCTTCTTCTAATTTCGACTGTTGTCGTATGCAGCCACATTTCTCTTTTTATTACTAATAAGGCGTTTTCTATTCGTTGTAGTTTTTCTATTGTTTGAATCCGTTACGTACACCAGTTCTTTAGCTTGTCCCCAGACGTAAAAATCGAACGGAGTTAGGTCTGGGGAACGTGTAGGCCACTGTATAGGGCCATGTCTTCCAATCCACGAGTAGAAAACGCCTTTGTAGTAATAAAAAGAGAAAATTTGATTGAATTGAGAAGAAGATGTCGTGAGTGTATACGTTGCCGAGGCCATTTTGAACAAAATTTGTAATAATTAATAAACGATCAAAATAATTATTTTCGTCTTTAATTTCAAGAAATCCACATTGAAAAACGATAGGGAAAAGGTTTTTACATTGCATAAGATAAATAATTTTTACCTGTTAGGTGTTCTACGTGCTATTCACACAAAAAGGAGCTATAAACACAAATTTCGCAAATCAGTCCGAGTAGAGTCAATGCACTAATTTAAGGAATTTGTGAAGTTGTTGTTATTATTTAAACAAGATTAGTATACCGTTTGAATGAGGATAGACTAGAGAAGTTTTGATAAAATCCGAAGATCGCTATCTCTTATAAAAAAAAAATTATACCCTTGTAAACTTAAATGTTCAGTCCATTTTTAACTTTTCGGAAAACTTCAAAGCTGAATTTTAAAAAAACTATATGATATTTGCCAATAAATTTAGATTTGATGCAACCCTACATTAATGCACGTCAAAACAAAATATTTACTTTAGGGCTGCGCTTAGTAGTTTTTTTTTTAAATCGAAATTAAATGATGCGATTTGAGTATTTTGGTGAAATTACAAAAAAAATTAATTTAAAAGTAGCCGCCTGGTATGGAACGTGTTATGGGGGCTGAAAATATAGGAAATGACCCATTCTATCCGCCAAATCATTTTGGCACACGATGCACCAAACACCCTGTATTATTCTTACATATTAATAGCTGCTTTATCGGGGTTTTCAGGTGTATTTCATGCATTGGTGCAAAGGAATGGTGAAAATGTTATGACCATGTAAGGAAAATTGAAAAAGATTTCATCAAGCAAGTTTGAGTAATTGAAATGCTGAAAAAGCGATTTATATTATATTAATACCTCTTTAACTTGATAATCTATAAAATCTATTTGAAGAACAAGAAATGCAAGTGGAGTTCTTAGAATCGTTTTCTAGTTCTGAATGAAGTGATAAGTTATAAGTATGATACTTAATAAAATTATTTACAGTAATATACGGTTTACTAAGTTTTCAAGACATGTTCCTATGTTAAAAACCCGATGTATAATAACATTCTTCATACACATACCTAAAATGTATAGGTAGGCATTCGTACTTCATGTTCATTAATATTAGTCATAAATAAAAATTAAACAGTATCAAGATCGTTTAATCCAATTTCCCCAGTATTGCACTCAACAAAGTTTATTTTCCCCATTTGCCATGAGATTCTGGTACACCTATAAACGGCGAAATAAAATACAATATACCTACGATTATTTGAAGTAAGAAAATCCGAAAAACATTCAGCCATTATGAGTCGACATTTGAGTTTGTTTATTTACTTCGAAAGAACATTATTTTTCACAGCAAGCGAAACACAGCATCTTTATAAATGTAGTTGTAATACAGGTAACAAACTGTATACTTTTATGTGCTGTTATAAGACTCCACATAGCTTACTAAATAAATAATACCATTTCCAGAGGTGCAGCGTCATCATCGAGTATCCTCCACGCTCGCCTAGACGCGTGCTACGAACAATGGCGTCAATTGGAGCGCGAACGCAAGCGGACCGAGGCTAGGCTAGCCTTAGCTTACCCCGGCCGAGCTGTGTCGTCGTCCAACTCCATACCTGTGCCGAGACTGCCTCCTTGCCCCACTAGGGTCGATAGACTCACTGTGGATATGCTGAGGGAACATACTAAGGTAGGTCTAAAAGTACGGTCCAGGTATTACATACACAGGCTAGAAAAGCTAGATTTACTCCCCATGTCGAATTCAAGTCGTAAATGTCAGAACTTACCTACATAGACTAGAAAAGGACTTATTCTGATGTAGACTCAAAAGTTATCTCGGACAGTATGGCTAGGCTAGCCTTAGCTTACCCCGGCCGAGCTGTGTCGTCATCCAACTCCATACCTGTGCCATATCTTGCCCCACTAGAGTCGATAGACTACGGATATGCTGAGAGAACATACTAAGGTGGGTAAAAGTACGGTCCAGATCTTACCTTCATAGGCTAGAAAAGCTAGATTTACTCCCCTGTCGAATTCAAGTTATAAATGTCAAAACTTACCTACATACGCTAGACAACCTAGGACTAGTTTTGATTTAGAATACAAACGCTACTTTGGCAAGTATCACTGGTGTTTTGTATAATATTGTAATAATAGAAATTCACTCTATAGTTCCAAAATACTGGACTGTCCTGTCGATGACATTGACAGTGGGGCGCCACCGTCAATACCGGATCGCTGGTTCAGATTTTTGCCATGTTGGAAACCATATAGTTGAACGATGGTAGCGCCCCCCTGTCATTGAGTTTGGTGGGACAGTTCAGCGTGGGTCATCTATACAAACAATATTTTCATTCAACAGGTATTAACCCTAATGGGCAAGATGGAGACACTACGAGCGAGTGTGTGCGTAGCTCAAAACAAGAAGCCAGTCAAGTCCGAAGACGCGAAGATCACGGTCCTGAAGCGAGGGCAGGAAAATGTAGCTCATGATAAGGAGAAGGACAGCGGCGTGGACCCGGCCACGTTCGACCCTAGCTCTTGGAAGGACGACGTCAAGAATCTGGCTGAGATGTGAGTGGAATTTCAACCTTATAACCACCTGCTTTAGGTCCAGAGGTGCCGAGTATGATTACCAGTAGGGGCTTGATCTTAGTCCGTCTAGCTACCCAATGTTGTACCGGCAGTTGAAGGTAGGATATCCAGTTTCTCTATGGTTGAAGATTCCAGGTGATGCTCGCTTCCACCTTCAGCCTGATCATTAGGTAAGATTTCCAATCTTACCTAATTTTAAAAGCTTCCTCCCGTCCACCAAGTGACCAGATCGTCGGTCCACCAAGCGACCAGATCTTCGATCTACCAAGTGACCAGATCGTCGGTCCACCAAGTGACCAGATCGTCGGTCTACCAAGTGACCAGATCGTCTGTCCACCAAGTGACCAGATTGTCGGTCCACCAAGTGACCAGATCGTCGGTCCACCAAGTGACCAGACCGTCGGTCCACCAAGTGACCAGATCGTCGGTCCACCAAGTGACCAGATCTTCGATCTACCAAGTGACCAGATCGTCGGTCCACGAAGTAACCAGATCGTCGGTCCACCAAGTGACCAGATCGTCGGTCCACCAAGTGACCAGATCGTTGGTCCACCAAGTGACCAGGGTCCACCAAGTGACCAGATCGTCGGTACACCAAGTGAGAGACCTGCGCTTCTTTCCTCGGTCTTCACAACGACTTTCACCAGGTCGTTGGTCCACCAAGTGATCAGGTCACGAATATCACGGTCCTGAAGCGAGGGCAGGAGAACGTAGCCCATGATAAGGAGAAGGACAGCGGCGTGGACCCGGCCACGTTCGACCCTAGCTCTTGGAAGGACGACGTCAAGAATCTGGCTGAGATGTGAGTGGAATTTCAACCTTATAACCACCTGCTTTAGGTCCAGAGGTTCCGAGTATGATTACCATTATGGGGCTTGATCTTAGTTCGCCTAGTTAGCTACCACCATCTGATCATCATTTTTCATCAGGTGAGATTCGGGCCAAAAGCTTCCTCTTTTAAAACCACCACCGCCAAGTGACTAGATCGTCGGTCCACCAAGTGACCAGGTCGTCGGTCCACCAAGTGACCAGATCGTCGGTTCACCAAGTGACCAGATCGTCGGTCCACCCCAAGTGACCAGATCGTCGGTCCACCAAGTGTCCAGATCTTCGGTCCACTAAGTGACCAGATCGTCGGTCCACCAAGTGACCAGATCGTCGGTCCACCAAGTGACCAGATCGTCGGTCCACCAAGTGACCAGATCGTCGGTCCACCAAGTGACCAGATCTTCGGTCCACCAAGTGACCAGATCGTCGGTTCACCAAGTGATCGGATCGTCGGTCCACCAAGTGACAGATCGTCGGTCCACCAAGTGACCAGATCGTCGGTCCACCAAGTGACCAGATCTTCGATCTACCAAGTGACCAGATCGTCGGTCCACTAAGTAACCAGATCGTCGGTCCACAAAGTGAAAAGGCGGGAAAATGTAGCTCATGATAAGGAGAAGGACAGCGGCGTGGACCCGGCCACGTTCGACCCTAGCTCTTGGAAGGACGACGTCAAGAATCTGGCTGAGATGTGAGTGGAATTTCAACCTTATAACCACCTGCTTTAGGTCCAGAGGTTCCGAGTATGATTACCAGTAGGGGCTTGATCTTAGTCCGTCTAGCTACCCAATGTTGTTCCGGCAGTTAAGAAGGTAGGATAATTATCCAGTTTCTCTGTGGTTAAAGATTCTAGGTGATGCACGCTTCCACCTTCAGCCTGATCATTAAAGATTTCCAATCTTACCTAATTTTAAAAGCTTCCTCCCGTCCACCAAGTGACCAGATCGTCGGTCCACCAAGCGACCAGATCGTCGGTCCACCAAGTGACCAGATCAGTGACCAGATCGTCGGTCCACCAAGTGACCAGATCGTCGGTCCACCAAGTGACCAGATCAGTGACCAGATCGTCGGTTCACCAAGTGATCGGATCGTCGGTCCACCAAGTGACAGATCTTCGGTCCACCAAGTGACCAGATCGTCGGTTCACCAAGTGACCAGATCGTCGGTCCACCAAGTGACCAGATCGTCGGTCCACCAAGTGACCAGAACGTCGGTCCACCAAGTGATCAGATCGTCGGTCCACCAAGTGACCAGATCGTCGGTCGACTAAGTGACCAGATCGTCGGTCCACCACGTGACCAGATCGTCGGTCCACCAAGTGAGAGACCTGCGCTTCTTTCCTCGGTCTTCACAACGACTTTCACCAGGTCGTTGGTCCACCAAGTGATCAGGTCACGAAGATCACGGTCCTGAAGCGAGGGCAGGAGAACGTAGCTCATGATAAGGAGAAGGACAGCGGCGTGGACCCGGCCACGTTCGACCCTAGCTCTTGGAAGGACGACGTCAAGAATCTGGCTGAGATGTGAGTTGTACTGTTTGTTTTTGTTATTTACAGGCTGTATTTTGCGGTAAATTGTATATTTTGTCTTGAGAAAGACAGCAGTCAGACAGGGTGACAGCTAAGTTTGACCCTAGCTCTTGGAAGGACGACGTCAAGAATCTGGCTGAGATGTGAGTGGAATTTCAACCGTATGACCACCTGCTTTAGGTCCAGAGGTTCCGAGTATGATTACCAGTAGGGGCTTGATCTTAGTCCGTCTAGCTACCCAATGTTGTACCGGCAGTTGAAGGTAGGATAATATCCAGTTTCTCTGTGGTTGAAGATTCCAGGTGATGCACGCTTCCACCTTTGGCCTAATCATCAGTTTAAGAAAGCTGCTCGTTGTGGATTAAAGAAAGTGTCGTCTACTGCCTGACAAAGGTCTCCCCTGAGGATTTCCACAAAAACTGGTCCTGTACTACACGCATCCAGGAGCTTTCTGTGACCTTCACCGGATCGTCGGTGCACCATGTGACCAGATCGTCGGTCCACCAAGCGGGAGACCTGTCTTTTTTACCCTAGTCGGGTTATATGCGACTCCCTGCCAAAACGCACTTAAACCTGTCGGAGTCCTTCAAAGAAATAACTAGCCAAGATATTACCAGTAGTCAGTAGTGTCCCTATGGCACCTGTTGGTCTCAGAACCCTCTATCTATCTAACACTAAGTCGAACCCGCTAAAAACTGATATATCTATATTCAGCCTTTAGTTAGGGGGTTCGACTTCGAACATAGGCCTCGTCTTCAACCCTCCACTGACTTCTGTCCCTGGCCACTTGCATCCAGTTTACTCCAGCCTGCTGCCGGATGTTGTCTGTCTACCGTTTAGGCGGCTCAGAATCCTAAAATGTTTAATGTTTGTTACAGCGCACCGCATAGCGAGGTAGAAAGTGCTATGCTATCATGGCGGTCCGCCGTGGGAGCAGTGCAAGCCGCACGTCGTCGCGAATTGTCGCCGCACCACGCGCGATACATGCGTTCTGACCGTGAGTACCTGGCTTCATAATTTCTATTTCAGAGGGGGCAATTGACTTGAGATGGGGAGGGGGGATTAATGGAGGGTTTCCAATCTGTGGGCTGAGTGTGAGTTTACATCAAACGAGCTCACTAGTGTATTAAAAAAATTATGATAATTTTAGTTTTTGAACGTTTCCTGCTAGGGGCGCTGTACAATCCGTGATACATTTAAGGCCGGGTAGCAGAGAAAATGGCGAAAATGAGGTTTTCATTTATCATTTTTGAGGTACTAAACAGTAAAATTAAAGGCTAAGATTTTTATTGGGCATAGTTGAGGATATTTTCTAGGGCAATTAACGGATGGAAACACGATTTAATGAAGTTGACTCGATAGAATAAATTCCCAAAGTTACCTCTATTCGTTTTCTATTTATGGTTTTATTTTTAAAATAAGCGATTTGAGATTCTAAATCTTTTACTAAACTAAAGTTCAGAAATAACTTGAGGGCTTTTAACGGATGAAATTTTTATATTGCGTCTTATTTAGTTACTATGTTAAAAAATGTGGAAAAAATCGTCCATGACGGCTTGGACAATCTCAATCAGTCGCGCGGTGGCGCTTACGGAGGACGGACGCGTGTCAGTTTTTTGGCCGTGACAGTTCTTATTAAAGTCTAAGTCAAACATTCTTTATTTGTGTGGACCTATATTAACGAGAGATTACAAGGCGTCAAATATTTCAAGAAAAAAATTAAAACCTATTATAAAGCTAAATTTTGCTCTCATGGAGCCTTTACCTACTCTGACAAATCAAGACTTAAAGAAGAAACTAATAATAAAACTATTTAACTGTCCTGCAATGAAAAGCTTGATCGGGTACAACACCTCAAGTTATTTTAGAACTAGATTTCATTAAAAGACTCTGAATATCAAATCGCTTAGGTATCTAAAGTCAAACGATTCTGAAATGTCAAGTGGCATAAAGTTGGGACTAATAAATAACCATTAAGATAGTAACGCCCTCCTGTCAATGACATACCTGGAACGTTAGAGTATTGGACAACTAGTAAAAATGCTTTGTCCTAAATGACTGACGGATATCGTAGAGACCTGAAAGTTGGAAGGTGTGTTCTTTGTATGACGTAGGCATCCGATTTTCCGAAATGGGGTCATGAAATGAAGTGGGTGAAAAAAGGGGGCAACGATTGTATGGGACAGTGATTCTTTGGTTCAATCTACTTAAAATTTTGCTTAACAATTCCTTAATATTCATGACAAACGTGTGAAAGGGGTAGAAAGTTATTTTGGGAGTCATTTGCGTCGAAGTTGATATCAATACTAGATACTTCCTGCTTTTGATTTAATTACTTTTTATTTTTACAAGTGTTTGAAAACTCCATGTCAGATTGCAATCAATGTCAAGTGAAATCTCAAATTGAAATATCTCAATCTCAATGAGGAGGCTCTGCATTTATTCCTAGAATTTCCCTAACACCGTCAAATTACCCTTTGGAATTCAAGACAGAGCAGTTTCCCATCAAAATCTGCTTCGTAATGACTATAAACAAAGCTCAAAGTCAAACTCTAGCAAACTCTGCATAAACTCCCATGAGTGCTCAGAGCGGGTGCTGCGCCAGGTAACCGCGTGTGATGCTCATAGTGATTTTCGATACAGAGCCCCGTAATACATACGTACATAAATTATGGAAGGAAAACACCAAGACCAATACAAACAAATATGTATGCATTTTTAGTATGATATTTTTATTTATTAACTAGCGGCCGCCCGCGACTTCGTACGCGTGGATCCCGTTTTACCCTCTTCATCTATCTTACGCGGTTTAGATTTTTCATACAAATGTTTTTCCCGCTAACTCCCGTTCCCGTGGGAATTTTGCAATATCCTGTTGTAACTAAGCTTTAAGTTTACTAAGGTAATAGTATGCCAAATTTCAAGCTTCTAACTTAAGCGGTTTTGATTTTTCATACAAAAGGATTTTCCCGCTTATTTCCGTTCCCGTGGGAATTTCGGGAATTCCTTATTGTAACTAAGCTTCAAGTTTACTAAGGTACCTACATGCCAAATTTGAAGCGTCTAACTTAAGCGGTTTAGATTTTTCATACAAAAGGATTTTCCCGCTAATTCCTGTTCCCGTGGGAATTCCTAAGTATACTATAACCCGCCCAGGAGTAAGAAAAATAATTGTACCAAGTTTCGTTAAAATCCGTCGAGTAGTTTTGTTTCTATAAGGAACATACAGACGGACAGACAGACAGACAGACAGACAGACAGACAGACAAAAATTTTACTGATTGCATTTTTGGCATCAGTATCGATCACTAATCACCCCCTGGTAGTTATTTTGAAAATATATTTCATGTACAAAATTGACCTCTCTACAGATTTATTATAAGTATAGAAGATAAAGAAACTAATACAAAAGAAACGCGAATTTCGGAACGCGAGTTTCGGAACGCGACATTAAACTCCGCTCCAACGCACACAGGCACACACGCACACACGCACATTGTTTTGATAGATAATATGATCTTTGACGTTAGGAACACACCTACATTGCTTAGACAACAGTGAGTGCTTGTAATTTAATATGAACTTTATACCATAGCAATAAAGCTCAAATTGACTACGTTTTAGTTACAAATCATTTGTATGGGAAAAAGAAAAGGGCTATTTTTAGGGTTTTTCCAGCAATAATTCTAAATTTTCTCGCCGTAAAAACCATCCTTGAACTTCAACGAACATTTTAAAAAAAGATTTGGCCAAATTGGTCCAGGCGTTGTTGAGTTATGCGCTTACCAACACATTTTGCGATTCATTTTTATATTATAGATAAACAAAAAGACTGAACAAAATTGATGCGTGTACTGATTAATGTAATTAACCACATGCAAAGTTTCGTGAATTGCAACAACTGTAATTTATTATCCAAGCTCTAAATAATCGCTACTACGAGTAACTGTCTGATGAACTGATCATTAAATGACCTACCGATAGGTCGGGTGACGTAATCTTGAAATTCTTTTGAACTTCCGGAAGGTCGGGTGATGCCACGCCTCTTTGAACCGTGTTTACTTTGGCAGTTGTATTTTATATTTATTCGATTCTAAAATATATTCCCAAAAATTCTGAAAGGTGTAATTTGTATCACTTGGATATGATTTGTATTAGAAAGTGTTGTGAGTGTGACGCTTGAACGGAAGGAAGTCAACCTAACCTAACCAACTTGCATTTTTAGGGTTCCGTAGCCAAAATGGCAAAAACGGAACCCTTATAGTTTCGTCATGTCCGTCTGTCCGTCTGTCCGTCTGTCCGTCTGTCCGTCTGTCCGTCTGTCCGTCTGTCCGTCTGTCACAGCCGATTTACTCGGAAACTATAAGTACTACAGTGATGAAATTTGATGGGAATATGTGTTGTATGAACCGCTACAAAATTATGACACTAAATAGTAAAAAAAAGAATTGGGGGTGGGGCCCCCCATACATGTAACTGAGGGATGAAAATTTTTTTTTCGATGTACATACCCGTGTGGGGTATCAATGGAAAGGTCTTTTAAAATGATATAAAGTTTTCTAAAAAACATTTTTCTTAAAGTGAACGGTTTTTGAGATATCAGCTCTCAAAGTCGTAAAAAGTATGTCCCCCCCCCTCTATTTTTATAACTACGGGGTATAAAATTCTAAAAAAAATAGAGGTGATGCATGCTAATTAACTCTTTCAACGATTTTTGGTTTGATCAAAGTATCTCTTATAGTTTTTGAGATAGGTTGATTTAACTGTAATTTTGGTTAAGTTATTGTGCTTACACTGAAAACGATGGCTGAACCTTATAAGATAGATCAAAAAATATACTACAGTATTGTACACCTTTTAAAATCCGCGATGATATAAAATCTTTATAATGTAGGTACTTTTTACGAGAAATATTAGCTTATTCAAGCAATACGCCATTAATCCTTATCCAGTAATGTACCTTAAATACATTGTGCATTTGATAAAGTTTAATATTACAAATGTGATTGTTGAGTAATAATAGGTTAAACATATCCATCGAACCAATATTTTTAAAACGCGTTAATCCTATAGATTATTATTACATCGATTCAAGAAGATCGGTCGCTCGCTGCGCTGCAGCGCGTGAGTTGCGGGGCGTGGTCTCGCGCGGGAGCGGGGATAAGATAGCTAACCGCGTCGACCCGAACGGGCAGACACGTGAGGGCAGACGTCGTTGTCACTTGTGCGCGCTAAGAGAATTTCATCGTTCCCATTTACTTCTTTCGCAAGTCGAATTTGGCGTTGAGACTTTTTAATATTGAATTGTACCTATTATAAAAAATAAGTAAGTAGGTATACTGGTTTAATAGGTGCTATTAAACCGGTCACGTACTAATAAATCCCCCAATAATATAAATTCCTTTGTTTTTGGTGCAAATTTTAGTGTTTCGTAGCAGGTTTTTAAAATTTCTAAAGCTTATTGTATATCATCTAACAATGGATACTTTAGATAATACGTTTTCCTACATTCTGAATTATAATAACTATATCGAAGATGATGTGGTTCGCGCATTTCATGAAAAGTTACTTCGGTGCACATCATTTAGACCGCGTGAGCTAGAATTATTTCAACACCCTGAACTGATTGAACCTGTACCTAAAAATGAGACGCACCTTCAAGTAATTTATGACGGTGACGTGGGATTAGTGGGGCACTGGAGTTGTATTTATTACATTAATGGAATACTGCGTGTGTACGATAGTCTTGTTGGTGTTCTAGGAAAATCGCAAAAAATATATGTAAAAGCCTTGTTTCCGTATCTATCGGAGTCATGTATTCAGTTTCCAAGTGTTCAGCGACAACCGAATACTATTGATTGTGGTTTGTTTGCCATTGCTTTTGCCACCTCTTTAGCTCGGAATATTTATAAATACATATATAAAATTAATATTCATACATAAAAGTACAAGGCAAAATATCGGGAGAGTTTAGGCTCCATTCACCAGGTGTATAAATTGACATAATAAGTTTATTA